AGATATCAATCTACTTGCTTGAGCGTGGTCCAGCTCAAACCAGAAATGATTGTGACTAAAATAGTTGTCCATGATTACTGGCTTAAACTGATCTTCAAGCAATGGTTGGCATTGCAGCCGGACACGGATCTGAACCTGTGCATACAAACACCAATATATAAGTTTTAGAGTATTGCCTTGACCATAATCAAGTATGTCTCAAGACAATACAGACCACAATAAGAGAATAAATGGTGTAAAGGGAGCCTCACAGAATACCTGAGTAGGATATAGTGTTCTCTCTGAAGCATCCACAGTCCATGCATATGGATTAATATTCATTTGTCCAGAGCTTGCAGCCTCAAAGATGCCATGAAGTTTGCGATCACTGTAGTTGAATAGAAAGAGCGGCAAGCCTGGGTCAATATTCTTGACATATGAAAAATGTTGAGCTGGTAAGCCTGTCAGATTTTTAGAACATATAGATGAAGTCAAAAATATTGACAAACAAAAACCAGAAATCACATGCTTCTCAAAAGATACTTTGCCACAGAGTCGGAGAATTCTGCATTCAAAAGCACATCATACAGTATACGTTCTCCTAAATTATAAACAACAAAACTGCTAATGGAATCTAGATGACTGACCAAAGAGTTGTTTAACAAGGCATTCTCTTATGGTGTTGTTCTTGCAACCAAATACGACACCACCAAGGTGAATCTTTCTCAAATTTCTAGCAGATTGATTTGGATCAAACGGTGCACTTTCATTCGGCATGAAAGTCTGTGTCCTCCTCCCTGTGCCCATCCTGTAATGCAATACACAAAACTATTATAGTCCCGAATTCAAATTGAACTTACTCCAATGCAACTGGAGTGGCACATATTACAATGTAGGTCAGTAAAGTAGGGTTTCAGTTGACTATGTTAAGAAACAACAATAAGTTACGATGCTAATCATGACATGTTATGCTACGAGCATTCGATTCTACATACTCAAAGAACTTTGGGTCAATTACTATTTGCTATTAGCAGATGCTTTACTATGACAAGACAAATATAGATTATTATTTCTAATTTCATCATTTATTCATACAAAAAACACTATTCAAGCTATCAGTAAGGCAGTTGAATCAATAGCAGCCTTCATATTCATATATATGCAACAAAAGTGACAATGCATATGTCGACTCCAGCAAGCAATCAGAAAGAACTAATATAAACAACATTGTACATAAACGGTTCCAAATCATAGAATTATTAACAGGTGTGGCTAGAAACTTCCAATCGATTTCGGCAATTTCCTCAAATGAGAAACGGAATTCAAGAAATTGATTCCGGATTTAGAATTCACCTTCCAACATAAAATCAGAAACGGCTTTCACATAAATCATTACAAATTAGGATCATCGAAAGAAAACAGCACTAAATGTAACAATCTGATTCTCATATCTTAACAACGATGTATTCACTATAAAGCATAACAAATCGAAACCACAAGTCCATTGCCCAGCACAAGGAACGATCAATTTCTATTGAAACAAACACAAACTCATATATTTATTTCCGTCGACACAAATACGCAAACACTCTGTTCACCTGAATACTGTGAGTGTATTTGCAAACTGCTCAGAGCTTCGAGTGAAAGAAACCGCCAACGAAGCGCGAAATGGGACTGAGTCGAACAAAGTGTGTGGGCAAATAAAAAGGGTTAATCTCATTTTCTACCCTGAAAGATCGTTCGAATCTTAATTTGTACCCCTAAAGATCAAAAATTTTAATTTATACCTTCAAATATAGAAATTTGTATCAATGTACACCCTCAAAGATCAAAAATCTCAATTTACATCCTCAAAGATATAAATCTGTATCAATGTGCACCTAAAATTAAATTGATAAATTATACCTAGATCCCCTCGTGTTTGTCACTTAATCATTTGAACCCCTTCACATTTAGAATATTACCCCTACATCTCATGACGTTTATACATGTGTAAAGATAACCACTTTTCGTTGATATCTATTAATATAATCGTTAAAAAATATGATTTTATCTTAATAAAAAATTATAATTTCATATTACTCTTTATTTGTGGATTCCATATACTCTAAAGTTCAAAATCAAACTTACCATTTGAATGTCTAATAGAATGTAAATATTTATATAAAGAAAAATATGAAAAACATTATATAAATATCTACATTTTATTAGACATTCAAATGGTAAGCTTGATTTTGAATTTTAGAGTATATTGGACCCATAAAATAAGGGTAATATGAAATTATAATTTTTTATTAGGATAAAGTTATATTTTTTAACGGTTATATTAACAGATATTAATGAAAATGAGTTACATATTGTACGTGCATAAATGTTATGAGATGTAGGAGTAATATTTTAAATGTAAAGAGGTCCAAATGATTAAGTGACAAACATGAGGAGATCTAGATATAATTTATCAATTTAGTTTTAAGTGCATAATGATACAAATTTCTATATTTGAGAGTGCAAATTGAGATTTTTTATCTTTGGGGTGCACATTGATATAAATTTCTATCTTTGAAGGTGTAAATTGAGATTTTTGATCTTTGGGGGTGCACATTAATACAAATTTTTATCTTTGAGGGTGTAAATTGAGATTTTTGATCTTTGGGGGTGCACATTGATACAAAATTCTATCTTTGAGGGTGTAAATTTAAATTTTTATTTTTTTAGGGTATAAATTAAGATTTGAACGATCTTTAAGAGTATAAAATGAGATTAACCCAACTAAAAAAGGCCCACAAAACAAAAACCAACCCCACCTCGCACCCACCACGTTTTCCTTTTGTAGGTGCGTGAGGGCTGCGCAAACTGATTATAGCATGGTGATAAATAAATATATTCGTATAATAAAATTTTGAGTATTATGATTTTTATTATATTAATACTATTTTGACTTAAAAATTTGATCTAATTTGTTAATATAATAATATGAATACATGGGAATCATTGAATCAATACAAAGTTGTAATGTTTGATAGGGTCTACGGTGAATCTAAATGTTACAATAAATTAAATCAGTAAATTAAGAACCAAAAACCCACGACAATGTAAAAGAAAAAAAGAGCTCAAAGCACAACAAAAGCGGAAATATATTTGGCCTATTTGGTGGTAATTTTTTTAGATGAAAATTGTCATTCGAAAATTTTTGTAAAAAAAATCAAAGTTAAAAAAATCCTCCAAAATCATTTGGGGTATTTTTTAAAAAACTAAAAAAGTTGAAAAAGTTCATTTGTAGTGGCTTTTTAACCTTTTTTGCTTTTTGTATTAAAATAAAAAAATAATTTTATGTATGTATAGATTATACATAATAATTCTCAAAATATTAATGTTAATTTTTTACGTTATTGATAATATTTTATGACTATAATAAACTAAAAAATTATGTGAGACCCACAACAAAATTCTAAAAAATTAAAAAAAAAATCTTAAATTCAGCCTCTTAAATCGGCCTAAATAAGTTTTTTGGGTCCAAGAAATTGTCACATGGGTTAGTAAAAAAGCCAAGATCCAAACGGACTTGACTTATTTTACTCTAAAGTTCTTAAAAATTATTTATTTAAGTTAGCTCCAAAGAAGCACATTATCTTAATTAGTTGTTATTGTTGAATTAAATAGTCAAATTCGTTTAAATAATAGTATCTACAAGTAGGATCTATATTAATGATAATTTAATGGTGAGCATTTGAAATTGCAGACAATGAAGAAATTGACAGAATGGTCCAGGCCTGGGACACGTCTTATGCATGTGGGAATCATATATCAAAAGAAAGAGAGGAGAGGGGGGGCATGAAAGGTGAGTCTAGCAAATGGCAACCACTGCTCATGTGAAACTGACTCCATCTTTTTTTTTTTGTTAATAATTCTTCAAATTATTCTTTGCAGCCAACTGGGTCTAATGCTTTTGCCTAAAATGTTCTAGTGGACAGCAAGCTGCTTTTATTTACTATTTTTTTTTATTTTATATATATACCACCTAATATGAAAAGGGAAATGTAGCAGGGCAACATCATAACATTATAGTGAAAATTTGAGAAGTTTTCGTGTCACAATAAAATTACTTTTTTTGTGATATGTAAGTAGGGATGTCAGTGAATCGAAGCGGGGGCGGGGAGTGTAGTCTTAATCCCCGTACCCGCTTAAAAAATTTCTATTCATTCCTGGTCCACTCCCGTTAACGAGTATAATTTTTATCCCCATCTCTGTCCACGGATAAATTTTTAATCCTTGTCCCCGTCCCTGCTTTCTCATACTCGCTTAAGCTCAAGTCCAAATAGCATAATCCAAAATTCTAAATAAATCTAATATTTTAAATAATCCAACAACATTCTAAATAATCTAGTGAATAATCTAAATTACATAACGTAAAATTTAAAACAATATAATATTCTGTTTAAAGTGTCATTGGACCACAAAAAGAGAAACGGAACTATTAGAGGGAAAGGAAGAAAAAAAAAATTGAACTAAGAAAACGATAGCACTACACTTGAAGTTTCATAGAATAATTTTTATTATTACAATTCATATTACAGTCATAAAGTGTTAAAAGATGAAAACTTAAAATTTTGCTAATTCAATAATTTTTTCAATTTCTTAGTTCACTCTAGCAGAAAAACTTATCAACCTCCATTCACAATATTTTTATCCACAATGAAATGTAAAACTATATTACTTTCTCTTATCTGTTTTTAGAGCATGGTCAATCCAAACTCCTAACAGTTTCAATCAGTGAACACAAATAGAAAAAAAAATAATCAGGAAAAAAAGTTTATAAGATTACCACATAGCAATGTCACTTGCTAGTTTGATTACCATATTTCTAAATTAGTAGTTACAATAAATATGTTTAGTTAAGGCTTGCAATTATATATATATATATATATATATATATATATATATATATATATATATATATATATATATATATATATATAGCGGGGGTGGGGTGGGGAGGGGCGAGGGCGAGGCGGGGGTAAAGGTAAGTTCATCCCCGCCTTCATCCCTGTACCGGCTTATACGGGTATCCTCATATACGTCCACCATCCAATACATACAATTCATTCTCGGTCCAAATAGGTCGAGTTTGGACGGATATCCGTTTTTCCCCAGTCCACTGCCATCCCTATGTGTAAGTCATGAATCCGAGACACATCAACAAACTTTCCTCCCGTAGGATAAAGATGTGTACATTTGATTCTCTTATAACTTGCTCATTGACTTCTTCTCTTCTTGTGTTTTGGGGAGTTTACAGACATATTAGTACATTGAAGTGCTTGCCAAACCAAATTGCTGCTGCTAGTTTCACAATGCAACAAGCCAACATCTCTAGGATAAAGCCTATTGTTAGGCCCAAAAGCATAAGCCTGTTTTTTTTTTTTTGTTGCGACATATTCAGATTTGTGTCGATTACTCCTTCAAGATTTGAGTCTGTCACCGTAATTCAAGCTATTTTATTAAGGACATATCTCATGAGAAATAAGGGTAGAAAGCTTTGGATCAACTTTCTTTCCACTTTGAAAGTTGGGCTTGCTCAAATCCTGTAGTCCAGCCCAAAACTATGTTTGTGAATTGGGTTTGCCTGATCCTATTGCCTTTCTCCTGGTCCAATGGTCTGCAAGCCCACCTTAGACTATCCGTCCAACATTTATCCCCTCCCACCACGCCCACTACTATACACACCAACTGGTTTGGCTTACGATCTAAGAGTAAGATATCTCCCCTCATTTTTTACTTTTCCACCCCACTGGTTTACGAGTTATTGTAAC